CACATCAGTATAAGATCCAAATACAGAATTCCTTTGGTTGTTACTTGAGGCCATAGAAAAACGATTATTTCCTTGTCCGATTATAGCGGCGGCAGCATGAATCGTGGCCATTATTTCACTATCTCGAATGGGTGTTTTCATAGAGTCGCGTGGACCTAATGGAGTAGGTTTCTTTCGATGTTTGTTTTTGAAATATCTATAGGTCATACCAGAAGCGACAATTAGAAATACGAGGGATGATGCAATAGCTATTGAAACTAATATAACCAAAGGAACTGGCAATGGTCCTGAAAAATTTTATAAAATAAAATAAATAAATCAATTAGAAAGAGATTTTTTTTTAAAACCATAATGTTAAAATGATTCCAATTCAGCTTACTTTTTCCAAATATTAATTCAGGAATAATTGTCGTGAATATAGTAATGATATGCCCCGAAACTCCATTGGTTTGTGAAGATAAGATATAAGGATACATATCTTTTCCATCATATAAAGCCGCACTAACATCTCCAATTGTGTCCAATTTTAAAGAACCAGAAACGAGAAGCAACCACTTTTCACTCAAATATTCAACATTTTCATGTTCACTATTCGAAGGAAGTAATGTTAGAGCTTCTATGTTAGAATCTGACATGATTTGTTCGCCTATGATCCTGAACTCATCGCCATTCCATTTACACAAATATGCAGAACCATCTGTTTCAGCGTGCCCTGAGACAAAGAATTGACCATCCATCATGAAATCATTAGATACTACGGTAGCAATTCCTGGAAGTTTATTCTTTCCGGATCCCAAGAAACTCATATCTTCCCAGCTTGATTTGCTAAAATCATATTTAAGTAAATAAACGGGTTTTCCATTTAAGGTCAAATTTCCGGCAACAACTAGGGGATTCGGATCTTTATTTCTCATTCTCTATACATAAATAATAATAATTATTATTGTTATTTATAATTATTTATTTATTTGAACAATAAAAATATTGTAACTTTATTTACCCCAATTAAATCCATAGAAAATATTTCACCGGAAATATCATCTTTCGCACCAAGAGTTTTCCATTGTCTTAGGCTTGAATCCCAAATACAAATAGTTTTGCATTCAAGTGAGCCGGCTTTGTCAAATTTTCCGCCTACAAGAATTTCGGGCGTTCCTGTACGATTTCTTACCACATTAACCTTAACATTATCATCATCCGCTAAAAATGGCATTTAAAATGAGTTGACAAATTTTTGGAATGTGAAAAATATAAATAATTTTTTCTTACCGGTCAATTGAGGTGATACGATCACACTACGCTTGTACAAATCATAAATGACGAAAGAATTATAAATCTCGTTGCTTTTATTAGGTACGGTGAATGCACTTCCGATGTATAATAAATCATTTATTACATCAAGAGATTTGACCTCCCCTTCGAAAGCAACATCGTTTCCCAAGCTGTTCCACAAACCATCTTCGATAATGGCAACATTCTTGGTACCACTAAGTTCAAATTTGCCACCAATGATCACGCAAGACTTGTCATTTCTTGTATCGTTCCACAACAAACCAGTATTAATGATAATCTCGGGAACGTTTCCATCAGTAGCTTGTGGATATATTGGAAGTGCAGAAGTTCCAGAACTTGTAATAAGACTTCCTCCAAATGCGGTTGTAAGCTGAGCGGCTGAGATTCTTCCAGCATAAAATGTAAAAGGATCGTTTGTTCCAGAAACCGCGATATCCTTTATAATACCATCTATATAGCCAGCCGTTGCCCAGTCCGAGAATTTAATATCCCAAATTGCGTAACCAAATGTTACATTTCCATACATAATTCCATTTTCATTAGCCCATGGAGTTATAGCCGTATTGAACTTACCGGCCACATGAACTTGTTGATGATCCTTATTACCAAATAAAGTTAACCTTCCTACTTCACCATTTACACCACCAGCGATTGGATTCCACTGATTTTCTGAGAGGCTTAATCTGGCGAGATTCTCTAATCGTAGTGATGCAGGCCCTAATGCAGTACCATTGAATAAACCTCCAACCAATAAATTGTCCTCCACTTGTTCTAAAGTGTTTACTCGACCATTAAGACCTCCATTAGGTAGTGGTATAAATGTATTACCATCATATTCTACAATATTGAAGAATGTGACATTATTGAATTTACCACCGATTACAATTGTATTTGGAGATGAGACTTTAATAGTGTGTACAGTTGAAAGGGGAGCCAATACACCATTAAATCTATTCCATGCAGGTTCATTCAGATCTGAAGCTGGTATATATTGGAATAACCCGCTTAAAGGAAAACCATATAGACTCTTTACAAATCTAATACTGTCCACTACAATAATAGCTTCACCTCCGACGGGTACTGTTGCAGTAGTTGATACTGTAATTTCCACAGTAGGTTGAAAAAAAGTTGTGGTAGCAACGATAAATAATCCAGGAAATAGTACATCTCTTCGATTAAGTTGTGAAGGATTATTTTGAGAAATTGTTATAGGTCCAATTGTTTGATCAGGAGCAACGGTGATCCTGACATCAATGGAGATCGTTTTTGAACAATCATATGGAATACAACTAGGAGTATCCATAGAAACATTATAATATCCAGCTTGTGGAATATATGGTCGCATGATAACTTTTACTGTAGATGTAGCAAGTTCTCCAGCTGGAATTATTGTCTGCAACACATTTTGCCAAATTCCTGAAAGTAACTTAGTTGTCCATACGCCTTCATATGTCACTTTTGGTTGAAATATGTTGGTGCCACCACAAGTGGGATTATTATCATTCATGTCACTCACGGCACGTACAATAATATCTAAAATAAAATGAGATAATATTATTTTTAAACCTTTTTTTAAAAGAAAAAAAAAAATTTTGTTTTTTAGTGATTATTTTTACCTGATTGAAAAAGTTTAATTCCATGAAATCCTCCACCATTTCCGTACCATTCCAAAATGTCGATTTGAATTCCTGTTAACTCTGGTTGACTAACAAACGTGAACATTTGAAAATCTTCATTACTTGGACTAAGAGGGCAAGATGTACACGTTACTAACAATCCATTTATAGGGTCCATATAAGATAATGTAACTACACTCATATCAGCTGTGGCGATTAACCTATATAAAAAAGATAAAAATGAAAAATTGTTTTTTTGAAAAATACTCCAAGGATAGAATGATTCACCTTTTTCTAATAAAATCTCCCCTCTTTTTTTTTTACCCAATCCCATCATTTACCTAAATGTCTTTGTTCCCCTTCCCTCAAAATTTGTATTCTTAATTCCAATCACACTTGGAGTTAATTTAACGTTGAATTCCGCCCTCCAAAACCCTGGCATGACATCTCTCATTAACCAAGTTGTTCCAGGTCCATCAGGCTCTGAATTACATAAAACAGAATATGGATTACCAACAATTTCTCGATCAGCTGAATTCCCTCCAGTAATCTGTAGTTATAAAGATAATTTTAAATAAAGTGAACTCATCTCTTTGAATTAAATACTTGAAAGGAATCAAAAAATGTTACCACAGCTTTTTGAATATTTATTGGTTGAGTATTTGATGCCGCACCAAATATTCCATCACCAGTTGCATCAAATTGACCTCCAAAATATATAGTGTTGTTAGGCTCATTATACGCAATGGTATAAACTGGCCCATTAAATCCTTTGAAAGGTAATGGCACCCATGTTTCATCACGCCATACGGCTACACTACCAGCAAAATCCGTGGCATTTATATTGTTTGCCACCGGATTCGTTGGAGTTACGAACGAACCTCCAACATATACGATAGAATTTTTGGTATCACAATACAATGAATATACTGGACCATCCAATCCCTCTACTAAAGATGATAATGTTTTGCTAGATGGATCATAACGAGCTATATTGTTAACCGATATATCTCCGAGTGTATCAAATTTCCCACCAATATATACATCCATCCCTTCATTAGACCGTGGTAGTATACATATCGCATTTATAGTTCCATTATATGATGTCGTCCCGACCAACTGAAAGGTATTATTTTGTGCTTGTGATATAAAGGAGTCACTCGTTATATCAAAATTTTCTCTTTGTCCTGGTGCACTGTATACTGATATACCATTATATTGACCCAAGGTAAGAATTTGAGACAGCCCATTGAAATTTATTTTTGGTGCCTCAGCTGTAACGGTTACAAATCCTTGCAATATCCCAGTACAAGATATTAGTACCGTTACTATTATATCATATATTCGTATTGTCTTCATATTTTAAACATAGAATAAAATTTTTCAATTTTATTCGGGATCTATAATATATATACTTTTGAAAGAAAAATTGTTCGATAAAAATTAAAACAAAATTAACTGGCTTTAGATATTATTTATTTTATTATGGTTTATTTTTTAAAAAAATTTTTCATAATTAAAAGTTCTATTTGCTATATTATTCTATACAAAATTTGCGACCTTCAACAACTGAAAGTTTCAAAGTTGTGTTGTTTTAAGGGTTACAACACTTCCTCTTTAAATAAATATAGTATATATTTTATATTATATATAATATACCTACACGATTTTTTTTTTTTTTTTTGCCTCGGTAACTTTTTTTTGTTTTCGAAAAAGAGGCAAATTGTGCAAATAATGCAAGCTGTAGGCATTAAAAAAAAAAAAAAAAATTAAAAAAGTACAATTGATACTATATTCTTTCATTCGTACAGAATCATCAGCCTTGCTCTTTTTGAGAAGTACAAATTGAAAAGGGAAAAAAAATTTTTTTTTTTACAATTATTCAATTCAACTCAATTTGGAGTTCTGTAAATTGTGATACGATCACCTATTTTTAATTTATATTTTGCTGAAAATTCGGTGGTACAAATCTAATAAATATATATGAATATAAAGTAATTTATATTGTATAACAATCTACATTCCGGAATGTTGAGTAAAAATGCAGTCATTGCACAGGAACAAACCTAATAGTTGTGTTAATATGGTAATTTAGGATAATTTTGCAGCCTACATGATCAATAATGAGAATATCTTTAGCAGGAGAATTCTGCAGGGTAATTTACCCCTTGATTTAGAACCTAAATAAGGGTATAAGGTTACCTTCTCATATAATGATTCAACAACATTTCCCATTTGTTTCAACGTTTCCAATGTGGCTTCATATGTTAACTTGATACGATATTGAATATTAATAATCATGTCAAATAATGTGAATAGATCATATACATAACCTTAAAAAAATAAACTCACATCTTGAGATGGTTCATCAAAAACAATTAAGCATCCGGCGCCTTGATCCAGGATTCCATGAAAAACTTTATCCAATATCATTTGAGATAATTTTGTCTCTACTTGCGGAGTTGGCAATTTGACCATTTCTGCAACATGTGAAATTTCGACCCTTGAGAATGGTTCTATTATACGTACTAAATTTTGCTCGAGCAAAGTGTCATAAAGTGCAGCAAGATGTGATCGAATGATTGGATCATTTCCCAATTCTATGAAAATCAGAAGTTAAATCAACGATGGGTTATAAGGAAACATTCAAGGAAATGACGTCATGATAATTAATACCATCTTTATAAGTTGCTAACGCATTTTCAAATTCGTTGAGTGAACGATTTTTATGAGCCGTTGCTACAGCTTTCATAGCATCAACTTCACGTCCAGCGTAACGTAAAGCGAGTTTACCATTGATAATGGCATAAACGTCATCCGACTATATAATTCAAAAAAGATATATAAATTAATTACGTAAAATTTTTTAACACTAAATGAGGTATTATCTTTACCAGATTCAACATGATTTTACAAAGCAACATATATTTCAAAGCGAGAATAGCTCTTGAATCATCTTGTGAAGAATATCCTTCAAGAGTTTCATAAAAATATGAATATCTATAAATATAAAAGTTATAATGTAGGTTTGGTTATGAATAATAAAAGTTCAATGATAATATAAAATATTTAATTACGTACGCGGTTTTATAGTCTTTATCCTCAGCGTGCAAAATTCCAGACTGCATATCAAGTGCAGCTTGAAGAAGAGGTGGACAATAAATAGCGTTCGCTGACGTTCTAGCTGATGTAAGGGCAGCCTTAAAGTATTTTAATATTATTAGTATAATGATAATTACGACATTCACCATTAAAAATTGAAGCTTACCCTGGACTTTGGTAAATTTCGTAATGCATGGCAAACTCTACTCTCCAAAAGCTGGACTTCCACCAACACCATTTTATCATCCAAACGTTTTAATTCTCTTAAAAGTGAATTAATAAGAGTTAAAGCGTCATGGTACATTTTATGATCAAGGTATCTAATAAAAATAATAATAGTAATAACGTTAACATAAAACATATATATATAGCCAATTATCCAAGGAAAAAACTATATATATATTACAAAGCTACTAAACGAGTCTCTAAAGATTGTTTTAAGAAAATTCGCTTTTCTTGTACGCTCCAGTCAATTGTCTCCTTGCAAATTTCGATTTGGAGAGGTAGTGAATCGGGAATTTCGGAGAACAGATCAATCAACGTCTTTACTGAAAGAATCCATTCAATTCATTAAAAATAGAATCGATTTCTTAAATCGATTATGAAACAACAATAATAACATATAATACAAATACTATACCGATTTTAGCAGTTTTTGCTCTCACGATTGACGCCATAAAAGTTCGGGAAGAACGTATCAAATTTGATAAATCATTGGGTTTTCTAATACAAGGAATCATGAATCTTTAAATTTCATAAACATGTAGTAATTAATTTTTTTTTATTTTTTGATACCTATAATCCCGATAAAGTTCACCGAGCTTGACAAGAGCAAGTTCTTGATCCCGTGCCAAATTATCATTATTTCCTAAAGAAATAAAAATATAAAATAGTCGATTATGAAATTATCCCGTGCAAAGTTATAATGTCACGTATTAACATAAAGTACATACCAGCATTTTGTGCAAGAATTTTCTTATATATCTGTTCTGCTTCAACAGGATAGGTCTTAACAAGTTCCTCGGCTTGTTTCAAAAGTGAAGACATTGATATATTGTTAAACGATATCGACTAATGGTGTGCGCTGCTGCAAGAAAAGTTCTTTGAACACACCGTGACCTATGGGGCAACGTAATCAGAAAAAAGTAAAAAAAGGGGAAGTTTTTGATTGGTTGATGAGAACATGAAAATTTGTTACACGATATATATATAAGATTTCGTGGTATTCATGAATTAAATAAAAAAGTTTTCTTACTATAAACGATAAACAATCTCTCAATGCAGCAGCAACAACAATTTGAGCTGGTTGATCCACCTTCGGATGCAATTTCCTCAGTCGTGTTCTGTCCGACCACTTCAAATCACTTGTTAGTTTCTTCTTGGGATAAGGTACATATTTCATTTTTAATTTCATTTTATCGCTTACTCTCTTGTATTAAATCACACGTTTCTAGACGGTGAAACTTTATGACGTGGAGGAAAATTCACTTAAAGCTTCGTTTCAACATAAAGCCTCAGTTCTCGACTGTTGTTTTTCTGACGGAGCACACGTATTTAGTGGAGGACTAGATCATTGCATAAAAAGGTGAAAGTTATATCAATTTTTTATTAATAATTTTTTTTTATTAATCAATATTTTTTATTTAAAAAGTTTTGATATCAACACGACCAACGAATCCATTGTGGGTTTACACGATAAGGCAGTAAAATGTGTCGAATATAGTTTAGAAAAGCGTAAGTTAAATTAAAAATTCACGTATTTTCAGTTTGTCTCTTATCACAATATTTTAATTTGTTTTTGTATAGACATGATTGTATCTGGATCATGGGATTGTACAATTAGATTATGGGACGTTCGTAAAAAGGACGCACTATCTGGACAATATGAAATCGGAGAAGGGGCAAAAGTATTTGCGTTGTCATTAGTTTATTATAAATTAGTGGTAGCAACGGCTGGTAGACAATTTTTTATTTATGATATTAGAAATATGTCTGAAACCATACAAAAACGTGAAAGTAGTTTGAAATTTATGACTCGTTGCGTAAAGTGTATGCCTAATCGACAAGGTAAGGATTAATTTAATTATTTAATAGATTTCTCAAACTTACGATTTTGATTTTTACTTTTTATTTTGGTTTAACTGTAGGTTATGCTAGTAGTTCAATCGAAGGACGCGTTGCTGTGGAATTCTTTGATCCATCACCTGAAATTCAAGCACGTAAATATGCGTTTAAATGTCATAGAAAAGTTATTGATGGCGTAGATACAGTTTACCCCGTTAACGCTTTAGCTTTTAATCCAACGTGAGTTAATAATAATCATTTTTTATTCTTTATAAAAACATACTTACATATTTATAAAATTCATCTATATAGACATGGAACTTTTGCTTCGGGAGGAGCCGACGGTGTAGTTAATATTTGGGATGGTTTCAATAAAAAACGGCTAAAACAATATCCTCAGTATCCAACTAGCATTGCAAGTTTGGATTTCAGTAAAGATGGGCAATATTTGGCTATAGCAAGCAGTTATACATTTGAAGAAGGTGAAAAAGATCATCCTCCAGATTCTGTATTCATAAGACACATTGGTGAAAATGAATGTAAACCAAGAGTTGTGGCATCCAGTGCTTAATTAAAAGGTTCTTGTATAATTTAATTGTTTTATGTAATATCGTCGTTAACTTTTTTTAGATCGGGAAATGCTAATTTTATTGTTAGGTAAGCATTTCTGTGTTATGTTTTTTTTTTTCCTTTAAATTTTAATTTTTACTTCTAGCTACCAGATGACCTATTTAAGTGAGTAAAATTCATTTACTATTTTATATAATAAAATCTCTTTTTTAACAGTTTTTTTATCATCATTTATTTATAAAATAATTATAATATATTATAAACATGTCAATAAAATTTAATAAATTCATTAAAATCCTGGAAATAATAATAATGATGATGATTAATATATATGTTAAAAATAAGCAATTATAGACTTGAATAAACTATTTAGTATACCATATTTTGCTTGGGTCTCTCTTTTTGTTTTCTTATTTGCTGCAAACTGTTCTTTTAAATCATTCTCCATGGCAGCTGCTTGATATGCCAAATACATTAAATTATGTTTTCTCTTTTGCCCTTTTGTGGGTTTTAACTACATAATTTAAAGAACATCTTTTCAATTAACATTATCCCGAAATTTCTATAATAAATAATAATTTAAAAAGCGACACGTACTGCTATACCGCCTCCTACTTTGCCAGGTTTTGTTAATTCACCCATTTGAGCTTGCCATGCATCTGCCATTTGATCTGCTGCACTTATCTCTTTAATTATAATCGGTCCTTCTTTACCTCTTCTACCTCCTAATTGTTGAATCTATACAAAAAGATAAAATAAATTTTTTTTTAAAAAAAATGGTATACATATATATATATTTTAAGATAACAAATTACCGCTTCGTCTTCTATTTGATAATCGGGCTGTGCTTGTTCACTATTTATTTGTAGTTGAGACTCATCATAATAATTTTCCGTATATGAATTTGTCCCAGTATCCCATTGATAATTATAATAATAATCATTTGTCGCAAAACTTTCTGCTGTCTCATTTGATTCACTTGATTCAATATTAGGTGATTCTGTTTTATCTAATTTAACTGTATTAGAGGATTCATTTGGTATTATATTCGTTATCTCAGCCCCTGTGATAAGGAATAAAAACAAAAAAAAAAGTTGAAATAGAAAATAAAATTTATTTAACATCTATTTAAGAAGGAAAAATAAAATAATTTACCTAGAGGAAAGAATGATTCCGAAAACTTGTTGCTTTCAATTGTATCTTCAATTTCATCTTCATTTATCTCTTTTCCTTTTATTTTGGAAAGAGGTTGTGATACATTAGAAGCTTTTTTTGCCATCACAGACTTTCGTTTGGTAAGCGTATGAGGAACAAAACTTGTAGACACTGTCGTCGATTTAATAGTTGAGGAACTAACTGAATTACTTGTTGAAGTATTTTGTTTACTAGTAACTGATCTCTTTGGTGCCGGTAATATTGCAAATAATCCACTACCACCAGAGGAATTTGGTTTCGATTTTATTTGCTTTTCATCACTATCATTTTCATCATCGTTGTCAAAACTTGGTAAATCAACCATTATTTTAACAGGTCCATTCCTTTTGCTTTTTGGTGGTGGAGGTAATGAGGATAATAAAGGTTTTTTGGTGGTTGTCGTAGTTTCTGTCACATTATGAACGTTCGTTTCTTCATCACTGCTGGACGCATCTGACCCATAATCAGCAACAAGCGACATTTTGAAATTTTTTTTTAAATTTGAAAATAGCCTAACTGGTGAGAAGCTTTTTATCCTACAACCTTTTTTTCTCGGACAAAATCGATCGTCATTGGCGGTCATTCATGTTTTTTCGTGTGGGTTGGTATGTGTCGGATAATAAAATTTTCTTGGCAAATTTGCGGGACCGCGCGGTCTCGGAAAACACGTGATTTGTTTCTTTTGAATATAAATCATAAATATTACTAGTTTCAGGAGGGACCGTCCCAAATAAGGAGAACGGTTACACAATTCAAATTTTTTTTTTTTATACATTTTACAGTACATTTTTGATGCTCTTTGCGCAACCTTTCTCCGCCATAAAACGTGACAAATGCATTAAGCAAAATTTGAGTATTCGCACTGCTCTGCAATATATTTCTTTAATCCCCGTTAATCCTGCGCCTTTATATTGTTATTAGCTGTTAAAGATATGTCTGAGATGAAGAAATGTACAGAATGCCAAACTGTTGAGTCGGCTAAATTTCGTTCGTTAAAGGGAGAAAAATGAAAGGAAGTTGAGAATAATAATTTAGCAAAGGTAACATGGAATGAAGGTATTCTCTTATGTAACATAATGCTATATGCATTTTGTAGAAAATCCTTTAAAAAAAGGCCGTAAGAGAGTAAAAACCACGGATGAATAAGTTACAGGTGAAAATATTACGACCGAGGAGGTAAGTATAAAGGTTGACTTTACAGGAGCTATTAAGATAATGGCAAAGATACTTTACGATAGAGAACATTCCAAGAAAGAAAAATCCATATATTCGTTCGATGAAATGCGAAGAATATTTCAAGAAATCGAACTGAGTTTGAAGGATTTTTTCGATCAGCTCTATTTGGTGGCTCGACCACTTGAACATAACGAACAAACGATGGACTGTATGAAAAAATTAATGCTTTTTATATGTTATCTTCTAGCATCACTAAATAATATAAAATTAACTTTTTTAAATTCGATCTTGGATTTTATTTAGATTCAGTTGATACGAGCAATGAAGGCCTGAATACAATGGCTAATCTTGGCGTGTCTATAACGTCAAGATCAATAGATCAAAAAAAAAATATCTAATGCGCATAGGGAATATGTAGAGAAGGCTCTTGCAAAACATTCGGAAAATTCGTTTGTTTTAAACATAGATGATTATCATAATATTCATGTTCAGAGATGACCCGATACTACCAGTACGTCTTGGGCGGCACATATGACAACAATTATGGTGAATTCGTATCCAATTCCTGCAATACTGAGAAGTGGAATAATTAATCCAAAGATCGTTAATATCGAATTGATCACTAGCATCTTGAAGAACGATTTATCGTAAACCTCAGAGTTTCATATTATGATTGCAGGCGGGATAGTGTAAGAGTAAATTCCTCTGATAATGATGTTATTGACAGCTTGATGATTCACAGTTACAATGATAGACTAGTGGGAAAAGAAGGTGGTCGGCATATAAGAAACGCTATCCTCATCGATTTTGTTGAAAATGGCTTGAAAGGCATAGGAGGATATACAAAAGCTCTTCAAATCGTATATGACCAAGAGCTGATGCAAGAGTACCTTTCCAATCACGCTATTCCTATTGTTGCGGATTGGCCTGGACAGTTCTACATTTGTAAAGCTATTGCGTAATGCCTTCTCGTTAACAATGAAATCATTTCTCATTTCGTTGTATCCTTTTTGCCCATGATGGGTCCTCTTTATGTATTGCTA